ACAGACATCACCAAGAGAGGGAATAAACTAGTCTGTGTATGCGATAATTAGACAGTTGAAAACGGAAAGCAAGTGAATTAGAGTTACAGCTATGTAAAACTAAATCTACAATTTGCGGGCTAATAGAAACCTCTCAGGAGACCAGTCACTACTCCAGCTGCCATTTTTGCATCAATGTCATCTCAAGCCACCCTCTCAGTGTCCTCTCCTCCTTGGATATAGATTGTGGCCCACAGATATTTTCAGTCTTTCTGGTAAAGCACATTATATATTTTAATTTCTACTTTCCTTGGTCAAGTTGTTCTCCTGAATCACAGTATCAACTCTTGATAGCTGTTAGGATAGCTATTTAGACCTTTTGATCCAGCTTCTAGCTTGACTTTGTTGCAGGACTCTGAATCTCAACAAGGTTTAGGTTTTTTTTTCATTCTGCTTGGTGCCATGTTGGAGCCATAGATGCAAAATATAGTGAACAGAAAAGAAACAAATCCAGTGTTTACAATGCCATTAATCTTTGCTAACATTACAGTAAAAGGCAGAAAGATAATTTGGAGCGGAGTTGACCTTTAGGGTCTATTTACACCAGCCGCTGCGCATTTCGCACAGCAGCTGATGTGCAGTGGCCAGCACAGTGCTGATGTGCCGATCCCAGCACACTGTTTCCTATTTTTTTTAATGAACTGTATTGAAATTTCTTAAGTGACATTTCATTAAGGTCTATGGACACAGCGTGGTGTGAGGCGGTTGTACTGCAACGCGGTGGTGTGAAATGTGTCCATTCATGACCAGGAAGATTGCCTTGTCTTGTGATGGCCTGCTATGGGAAACAAACGGCTAGCTTAGTCCCAATGCACCTGGTGAGAGGAGCAATTTGTTGACCAGTTACATTCTAATCCCAGCATGTCATAGTGCCACCTTGTGGTTTTCAAAGGAAACCACAGCAGGACCATTTGCATGTCTGTCTCTCTTTCTCCCTTTCAGGATGCTGACTCCCTGCTTATAATTCATAGCTCTATTGCCAGCAGCAAGTGAGAAATATAATCTGCTTGAGCTCAATGTTTTGTCATGAGGATGGGCCTGAGTGGGGATGATAACTAAGGCAGCTGAATAAGTGAAATCCAGCGCATCTAAGCCTGGTATAGAATTGTGCACGTCTCGGAATGCTTGCAATGCAAAGCTGTCAGCCACCGTTCTATTCTGACCCACTTGTCATGGGAATTATTTCCAGCGCCAACCTGAAACTGGACCCTCTGCAGATGATAGCGTTCTGCATGAGCCTGAATAGCTAATTCTCCTTCAGCTTAAAAAAAAAAAAATGACAGGACAATGACTATGTATTGTTGCTTTTCACAGACCTTGAGAGGACACAGCCATATGTACTCTATATACACCTCGAACATTTAGGGACTATTGTGCAAGATTCGTGTTATAAGCAGGATGGAAATCTTCCATATTCTGGCATATAGATAACTTTATTTTTTTCCTTCACTACAAGTTGTACACTGTGGGGTTAATGTACTAAAGGAGTACACATCTAGCAAAGTAGATAAAGCGAAGCGATGTTCACTTCAATCATCCAGTCATATGCAAGGACACCATCTTGCTCATTTTTCTCTTGCTTATGATTGGGTAGCCAACATAAAGACCACTTCCTTCTCTTCAGTTTAGCTCAGTCATGTTCTGTATTCCTCTGTAAATTATCCCAATTATTTCCACTGCTTCACGCTTCTGTATGTAAAGCACTACTTCAGTATTATTCATAGAACAGGCACACTTTTGCTAATTAAAATAAAATACTTCTATTTCAGCTTTTAGTGGATGATGTTCAGGAGTGCGGCAATATCATTATGTCCTGCTTTGCTGATCCTCCTATGTCTCTGCAAGTGTACCAGACAGGATTTGCCTGATTGAAAACATTAGACTCTCTCCTGCAGTTCTTGTGGACATTAAATTCCCAGAATGCTCTTGGTAGCCAGAGACCATGTGCTTAGGCTTAGGTCCTAGAAAAGTTTAGGGGCTACAGTCTGTAATGTATGGCAAGCAGGAGGTAATAGGAAGTCACTTGCCTTTTCTTGAAGTTCATTGAAGGAGACACAGAAAAACTTAAACCTTTGGGTTAAACTGCCACCTACAAGAGGAATAGACGCTGGCAAACAAACCGTAGGCAAGCTCAAGATAACCATCCCACTAACAGCACACCTTGGTTTTGGGGCCTGTGTGTCTCAATGTATTCCAAGAAAATGAGACAAGTACCAAAATACTATTTGTTTCTCATCCTTTTATCTCAACCTTTCGAGGTGTTAAAAAGCAATCCAACTGAGTTGCGGGTAGCACTGCAAACAACTGCTAACAGGCCCACGAACACTACAGAACATTGGGGACTGAAAATTGCTGCATATGAGGGACCTTACACGTGACGATGGCATTAGATATGGCCCCATGTTCACCTGGTAGGGCTTTGAAGAACAATTTAACAGAACACTAGGTAGAAAGAAGCCTTGTAAATCTGGTAGTAGCTTGATGCCGAAAAGCCGAAAAAGCACTCAGACCTAGTGAGCCTTGACCAGAAAGGGTGCAACCTGATCCCTGAGGCCATAAGCTTGAATCTTGGTCTGTTTGAGCCACCTAGAGATGATGGAACAGGCAGCAGAACCACCCTTATGGGGTCCATCCAGTATTTTAATAAGGGAATCTGTGTTCCTGAAAGAACTAGTGGCTGAGAGATACTGCCAACGTCATCCCAGTTAGAAGGCTTGCTGCCAGCAGCCCCAGAACCATTAGTAGAATGTGAGGTGGGGGCACAGTGGGAGTGTATTCACCTCCGTTTTTAGAATCCTACATGTTGCAACCAGATAATGGTAAGGCAACATCTAGGCGCAGGATAAGAGGCAAACCCTCAGGGACTCGTGAAACCCTGACCGCTAGTAGGTGGAATGGATGTGGCTGTTTTCAAGCAGAAGCAGCAGTAATAAGATGGCTTGCTCAATGCTTTTCGGTTGAAAGAGTTGTAAACGCATGACACTCCATCTTGTAGATGATATCAGTGCTTAGTCCCACAGCACTTACCCCTTCTGCCACAAAACTGACAGGAAAGGGAAATAAAGGTGCCCAGCAACCTTAGTAATTGAGGTAGCTCCTGATGCTCAGCCTGACCGGCTTACTTACTAAGGGAGTCTATCCTGACATACAGGATAAGTGCTGAGGCAATAGCAAAAGCTCTGAGCCTGGAAAGTGCTCTGAGCAAACGTTTACTAGAACAGAGTCTGAAAAGTGTCCTACGTGGGATCCAATGTTCAATGGTCGCTTTCAGGCTATCCACGATGTAGGGAGGATTGTTGTGAGAAGAAAACAATACAGCCAAATCTTAGCCTCTGTTTGGATTGCAGTTGCCATGGTGCGGCACTTGTGATCAGCTATGACACCAGTCATTTCAGGGATTGAAAGTTCAGATGAGAGCTGAAATGATCACACTGGCAACCATGTCTTAAAAGTAACTGTTTTGAGAGACTGGTGGCTTAGCTTCAGACTGAACTGAGCGCCCCCAAAACTGTAACTGTTATTAGACCCAGAAATTGAGGGACCAACCTTCATGAATCAATTCTAGTATCACAGTACTTCTTTCAAGTGCTGCTATCCTAGAGGTGGTTCTTAAAGTCCTATCCTTCCATCTCCTAATCACCAGTGAAGTAGCCCTAAACTTGCATGCAATTCTGGCATACATTTTCAAAGCATTTTGGCATCATGTGTTTCTTCGCTGACCAGCAGGGTGTTTTACTGGTTTGTAAGCCGGCACTGGTTTTTTCTAGTATGATTCCCTGTCATATGAATCACATTTGAGGCCTCAGTCTCCATACTCTCTATAGACTAGGCTGACCCATTCCCCTAGTGCATTGCATGCTTGGCTAAGATTGGTCAGCTGCACAAAGCTGTAAATATCTCCATGAGCAGTAATGAGTAATTCCAGTAATTATCTAACGCCAATGACTAAAACCTCCTATACGTTTTACCATGTTGGGATCATTTCAGAATAATTTTTTTTTCAGTATGTTTTACATCTGCAGCTTTCATTAAAATAATACCTGGTGATTCTGCCTTGGAGGTCCTAGTTTAGGCGCTTCCTGTTAAAGGGTGACAGCGCTCTTTCCCTATGTAGAAAAAGTCACTCGCACTCCAGCTCAGATTCAGTCAATATTTATTGACCTCTGCAGTGTCACATCATATAATAGCGAGGTTTTCGGAACCACATGGTCCCTTCCTCAGGCAAACAAAGAGGGAGCTGGAGTGCGAGTGACTTTTTCTACATTGTGCATTGATCTGCGGAGGCATCTGCTGTCACTTCTGGCACCCACCCGATTTCAGGGCCATTGTCCGGTTAGGAGTACGATGAGTTACATTTGATTTTTGAGCGCTCTTTCCCTGTCTTCCAATTGATTCTGTGTTGTTCCCGAGGGTGGGCATAGGGTTCGGATGGAGACTACAAGTGGCCATTTCAACACACATTACGCGGACATGTTCCACTCTTGTCGCCATCCATAAGTGAACCCTAAGAAAAGCCACGCAGCCATCGCTGGAGTGCATTTAGACAGAAAGTGACTACAGAGAGGCTGCAGGGGATTGGCAGCACTGAGATTCAGGATTGTTTGTGTTAAAAGTACAGTTTAGCATACTACTGGAAAAGTCATTCAGTTAGGGTTTACATCTACATGAACTCCTACTTCTTCTCTTACTAGAGAAGGGTCAACGATAAAGTCAATAGATGAAGTTAAAAAAAAAGTATTTGTGAGTGCTTAACATCGCTGTACAAGATTAGCATTAAACACACCAATGCTGTGGGATCACAGTCAGGATCAGACCGTTTATGGCCACACCTAAACATAGACAGTGAATACATTTTGAGTTGTCAGCCCTGATAACAGATCAAAGGAGTTTTTCCAGTACTGATATGTTTGTGTGTTTCATTCTACCAGTATTCTGATTTTACAAGTGGCGTTGTTTTGCAGGACGGGTTGGACAAGCCGTAGCACTGCGAGCGAAGACGTTTGGTTTCAATGTAATTTTCTACGACCCGTATTTACCAGATGGAATAGAACGCGCGCTTGGCCTCCAGCGGGTCAGCACTCTCCAGGACCTTCTGTTTCATAGTGACTGTGTAACTCTGCACTGCAGCTTAAATGAGCACAACCATCACCTTATCAATGACTTCACCATCAAACAGGTGAGTTCCAATCACTCATCGGAGTTCATCGATTCCTCATCCTGTGAAGACCTGAAAGATTGACTCCCCCCCCCCCCTTTCCCCTTTTATACCATTGTATATAATGTGTCTGATGGAAGCTCATTTAGGAGCAATTCTAAAGGATTACAGCAGTGTTCTATCCATTGACTTATTAGTAAGAAGTAATGACTTCACCATGACAGGAGGTATATTAAAGGTGGAGAACAAGGATAGAGATGCAAAATTAAATTGGGGATTGGTTCCTGTGTTCTTGTTTTACTTTATTGAAAACCTGTGTTTCAAAATGGAAGACTCTTATTGCCAACCTCTGCTTCTGAAAATGCTAGTTCACTTGCTGTGATGATCCAATGGCTTCAGTATGTTGAGTCCCCAACCAGGAAGATGGTTACATGGTGTAGGAAATGGTTAAAATCCCTGATGTATTCCTTTTGCTGTGTCTCTAAAATGAGGGAAGATAGTTGCTATTCTATACCGAACTAAAGAAAAAGTTTCACCTTTAAATGTTTAAAGTAAACTAAAGCCAACATTTTATAGGGTTAAATTGCTATCTTTTTTTTATCCTCTTTGTCTTTTTAAGGAGATTTCCCTTCACTTCCTGTCCTGTAGACTCAACAGGAAGTGAAAGGATAGGTATGAACAATCTCCTCTTAGTTGCCACAGGAATAAGTGTCCCCATTGGAAGATTTGCTCTCTGTTCCTGTTCTGGTGGCAATGCGAGATTTTGGATTTACCCTTCACTTTCATTCTTGGTGACATTAGTGATCAGGACAATTAGAGCATGAATCTTTCTAACGTGGAGACAGACAGCAATGAGATTTACGGAAGCTCTAACTCCTTCCCACTCTATCCAAATCTAAAAAAACTATTTTTGCCTCTTAGTTACATTTTAAGCCACTTCATGACTGCCACTGCCTACCATATATCTAAGTTGTGTCTGACAGGCTAGAGATCTAAGGGTAGGTTATTCACTTATGCTTTTTGGAATGCATGTAAATGCACACAGATAAGTGGTTCGGCATGTTTGCTCTTATGGTTTTGTTTTTTGTTTAGCAATATTGGAGTTTAAATTAAAACTCAATTTTTGTTTAGGATTTAAAAATCCCTCCATGTGTTCTATAATAATTGCAAGGATTGCAGCAAACAGTTTTGAAGTGTCTCGCCTTGTCCAGAAATAATGATATAGGCTTTACCATGCCAACTTAGTGGGGAGTCTGCTCTAATTTCACTATATTGTCTTGCCAGTCTTGTTGTTGTAATAAGAAAAGCTGCAGTTCTAGATTTGGGATTTACTAGGTATCGGGATTTCTGCTCGGAGACCTTGGAAAACAAATTACCATTGCTAGATGAATTTAAAGGTTAGCTCCATTCTATTCAGTTCTGGATGAGTATAGACAGGTTGTCGCCAAGCCAAATTGTAAAGAACTACAGGTAATTTTTTTTTAGTAACCCTTGCAGTAGGGCTACCCCCCCCCCTCCCCCCCCACACACACACACACAGACTAGAAGGGTTACCTGCTTATTTTGGTCTAGGGCTGAAAACAACAGTTATACTCACCCAATCCTCCAAGCCAGCCAGCTAAGACAACGCTCCTGCAGCCTGTCTCCGCCTCTGCTGCAGCAATGGTATGGCCCTTGACGTCCTCATGTCCTATACACCGTGTATGGAATATAATGATTCCTGGACCTTAGACCGCTGCGGCAGAGGGAGAGAGACGTTCCAGGGACTGGTCTAAGAGTAAGCTGGCTCCAAGGGTCAGGTGAGTAAATCTTTTTCTTATTTTCAGCCCTAGACTGAAACAAGCAGTTAACCCCAATTATAGGGTTTTTTTGCATATATCTACTGCTAGCAAGCAATAGATATATGCAAAAAGTGTAAAAAAATAAAACTATTTAAAAGCGGGTTAAACTTACCTGTGTCTTCCCTCGTGCTCCCGTCTGAAAATGTGAAAATTCTCGGGCAGTCGCAAAGCATCTTGGGGCGGGCGCATGCGCAGTACACATTTTCGGCCAGGAGACGAGGAGAGACACAAGGTAAGTATATGGACGCGTGCACCCGCATGCAGACACCGTGGGACAGGAAGTGCCAGCAAGGACAGAGAAGTTAGCGCTGGATCAGAGACCTGCAGCAGCGCTGGAGGGACAGATGAAAACGACAGGAAAGAAGATCGGATTAAGAAACCTAATTTAAGGTAAGTGCTTTAATTAACATTGGGGGGAGGGGAAAAAAAATATTTGACTTTAATGTCACTTTAAATGTGAAGAGCCCATGGCTGTTCACATTTAATTGGACATGCTTTGATTACTTGCAGGGTAATGCACCTGGATGCAAACTGTGTTAAATCACTTGTTCTCAGGGCTGTAGCTACCATGGGGCCAGTGAGGCACTCGCCTCAGGCGTAGCTGAGAGGGGGCGCAGCCAGGGCCGGCCTGGCTGCGCCCCTGTTGCCATGGCGAGCACAGGGCGCCATTGGCATCAGGGGTGCCAGGCAGCCAACACAGCCGCGGCTTGGCAGGAAGAAGAGGAGCGGCACAGGCTCCGGATTCTCCTCGGATCCCCGCTGCTCTACCCCACCTGTATGGGCAGAGGTGCATGCGTGCTGCCATCCTGGAGGCGGGGCACATGTCACATACCGCACACGTCTGTTGGGGGGCACAATTTTCTGTTCTTGCCTCAGGAGCAAAAAGAGGTAGCTACGGCTCTGCTTGTTCTTATACCATTATCTGGGTTTGTGATGGGCATCAAGGGTTGAAAAAAAACTGAAGCGAAATTATAATTAATTTTTTTTGCCATCTGGGTGATTTCCCTTCACTTTCTGTCCAAAGGCCACAGCGGGAAGTTGAGAACAAAACCGTCCAAAGTGAGAGAAATCCCTGGTGGTCAGAATAGTCAGCAGAACTAGTGTCTCTAGTAACCATGCAATTGTGAAATGTTGGTTTTGGGGGTAGAACGGATGTTTAAATCGTGAAGATATAGAACGTCCCAGATCCTGCTCTCTGTTTTGTCAGCAGGCTTGTAAATTTAAGGAGCCCCTCCCGTATGTGCTTAGATTTCACTCAGAGCCGAGGCTTATGCAAATAACTAAAGCCTATAAATATAACAAGTGCTGAGGATAAATATTTCAGCGGCTGCACAGCGAGATGCCTGTGAAACACAAATGAAATATAGACAGAAGCTGCCTATATGGAGCAGGCGTATTAGCAGTCAGCAAAGTAAATCCAGACAGAGTAGCAGGGAGTGTTTGACAAACTGGCAAAGTAACAAGAGACAAGCTGAGGGGAAATTTTTTTCCTAGGGGATGAGCAGTCTTTAAAACATATGCCGTGCATACGTGGGTCACCCATGCACATTGTAAGGGATTTAAAGTGACTTTTTCTGTAAAAGAAGAGCATTCATTTTATGTATGAGTTCTCTGATGTTTGCTCTATTTCAAAGAAAATTCCCCAGCAGAGCCATCAGAAGCTGACATCTTCCAAGTGTGTTGGGTGCCTGGTCCTCCGCTGTGTGTTGTGGTTCCACTTGCCAGCCCCTATGTCACTACCGTGTCCCTGGGACTGATATATGTTTTACAGGGACACGGTAGTGATGTACCGGCCGGCAGATGAAACCGCACAAAGAGCAGGCATCCAACACATTTGGAAGTGTCGTATGCCGGTGACTGCGCTGGGGGACATACCTCTGACAAAAGGATGCGAGGCATCGGCAGCGGACAGGCAACTGTAATATAACTATAGATAACTTCCTTTTATGTCTTCTTTTTTTTTTTTCTTAGACAGGATCTCCCGATCTATCCTAATGGTTCCTACTTCTCTTCTATAGCAATAGACCATTCTAGGTCACTTGCTGAAAGTGAGAGCTTAGTGGGTGGGCCTATTATAAACACTTAATTGGTCCCAGTGCTGTCATAGGAAGCAGTTGTATCTCTCCCGCCCCTTCCCCAGGGTCCCTTTTAGACGCACCCCTGGCAAATACCTCACCAGATATATTTGTAATACAGGGATTAGTACTAGGATAGCTGCTATGTGACCAAGTTCTGAGCAGACTTCTGGAGAAGTCATTCCTTTCTACAAAGTGCTTTAATATGCAATTCCATGAAGAAAAAATATACATGTTTAGACTATCTTGACTGAACCAAAATGTCAATGATTTGTGAGACTCACCATTAGATCACAAACCTTTTTTTGCAACATCCCTTATTTTATGCAAAACATTGTACAACTTCCAGAATTCCTAAATGTTTTTTTTTTAAATGGTGTAGCAAGTCGCATTGCATTTCGGGACCTTTGCTACCCTATCCTTCAGATGGGCACAAGATGTCAACATGTCAGATCAACCTTTCATGTTGAGGTATGAAACGCTGAATGGGAAATGGACCTTCACCCATCTCATCCCCTCTTCTTCTGTGGCCTTCAGGCCATCGAGTGGTCATTGCGTGCTACGTTTTAGACTTACACTTCAACTGCAAGGGGGCGGGGGTTCTTAGAGGTGGAGATGAGGGTTTAGCTTTAAATGATAGCTACTTGGATAAATTCCACCCAAGGGTATGCCAAGACCCTAAGGGGAGGGGCTTTCAAGAAATACTATGAGCTCTTTTCCTGTTTATAAAAATGCATAAGTTCATTTATTAATATAACATGATTATTTGATAATGAAAATTCCATTTTGTAAAACATGATTATTCCATAGCATGATTATTTCATATACAATGTTGACATCACATAATTCATTTATACAGCATGATTAATAATTCATTCAAAATGATCCCGGCATATTTTGCCCTACTGGGCTTCTTCAAGGGGACAGGAACTATATATCATGAAGGAGTCCAACCGGAGCACATGCCAGTATAGAGTGATGAACCACAACAGGTCAACTATATTCTCCCTTACTTCAAATGGAAAGGCAATCAGGCATGGGAGTCGTGTCGGGAGAGTAATATGCAGCACCAAGTCACCAAGAACAAGAGGGCAAAAGCCACAAG